CTTTCAGCCCTGCTGTGCCCGTGCATCTGGCCCTCCCGTGGGGAGCTTGTCCGCCACGGGAGGACGTCACGTATCTCGATGGCGCACAGGGAGGAGACTGATTCTTTCTTTACTTACTTTTCAATGACAGTTTACGTTCGATATTGTATCAGTTTCCGGTGTGCAGCCTAGTGATTAGACATTCAGGTGTGCAGCCTAGTGATTAGACATTCATATAGTTTCCAGAGTGACCCCCCGAGAAGCCCAGTACCCGCCTGGCATCATGCAGGGTCACTGCAGTGTGACTGACTGTAGCCCCTTGGCTGTATTTTACAGCTCCGTGCCTGCCGGTTTGCGCTTCTTTTCAGTTCACTAGTTTAAATTTTCTTTCAGTTACAGTGGACATTCAGTTACTTGTATTCATTTCCGGTGCATGGTGGCTAGCCCATCATAGACGTCACCAGTGATCTGTATCGAGTGCCCTCCTTGGGCACTGAGCGTTACGGTTTTGGATGTTGTTACATTTAACTGATTTGCTCAGAACTTGATTTGGGGAGCTAGTGAACAGAGAGGTACTCATTTGATTTTGTTTTCATCCAAATCGCTGCCTGTGCTCCCAGCCCTGCGCCCCGAGCAGTGCCTCTCCTCCCTGCCGGGGTCCAGCCAGGGCCTGGGACCCCCACTTTCTCCCTCCTCCGGGTCATGTCTCCTGTTCTCCGCAGGTGTCTTAGCACACGCGGGACTGTTTGTTGACCGAACAAAAACTCTGTATTCTTATATCCGGTAGAACTTGACTTTTCTCTACAAAACTCATTGGACAAAATGTTTTATGCCGTGCCGGCCTGTTGATTCTCCTGAGAATGATTTCGTCGATTTTGGGGGACAGCCTCTAGTGTGATTACGGTAAATGTGAGGGTGGGTTTGAGAGGAGCTCACAGTATCCTGTGTCCCGAAACCTTTCCACCTCATCCTGTTCATGGCCGTGACAGCCTGTAACAGGTGGGCAACCTTTCGGACATTTATAACACCATCAGCCGGCCGTACAGTTATCAACTTAGAAATGAGCCTGCTGTATTTGGTCAGGCCAGTTTGATGAGGGGTGCGACGTTAGCTGGTACGGATTCTGAGGGCCTTATATGGCCGCAGACGGGTGCTCCCCACCCCTGGCCATGACGAGGGTGAGGTCTGAGAAGGGCTGTCTCCTCCTCGAAGCAGGCGAAGTGGCTCTGACAGCCTCCCGGACTTCGGGGTGCACCCTGTCCTTCAGTAGGTGTTTGTGGAGCACCGGCCATATGCAGGCACTGCTCCAGGTTCCAGGGACACTGCAGTGACCGGAACAGGCGCACCCCAGCCCTCGAAGGGGCGCGCTCCCTGAGTGGGGTGCAGACAACGAGCAGAGTGCCGAGAGCAGTTTCAGTTAGTGACAGTTACTCAAAGGGAATACAAATGGCGATGAGGTAGAGGACGGAGTGGGAGGTCACCGGGGCAGGGTGTCAGGGAGGGGCTGTCACTTCTCCAGGGAGGACAGACCTGAGGATGTCGAGGAGCTGGCACCGGGGAAGCAGGGCCGGCGTTCCAGGCTGCGGCACAGCAGGGGGTGTCTGACCCCCTGGGTGTGTGAGAGCAGCTCAGGGCAGGGGGGGCTGACCGTGTGGGGGACGAGTGCAGGGGGAAGGCCAGGAGGGAGGCAGGAGGAAGGCCAGGAAGGAGGCAGGAAGGAGGCCGGAGGGAGGCCGGAGGGAGTCAGGAGGGAGGGAGACCGGAGGGAGGCCAGGAGGGAGTCAGGAGGGAGGGAGACCGGAGGGAGGCCAGGAGGGAGTCAGGAGGGAGGGAGACCGGAGGGAGGCCAGGAGGGAGTCAGGAGGGAGGGAGACCGGAGGGAGGCCAGGAGGGAGTCAGGAGGGAGGCCAGGAGGGAGGCCGGAGGGAGGCCAGGAGGGAGGCCAGGAGGGAGGCCGGAGGGAGGCCAGGAGGGAGTCAGGAGGGAGGGAGACCGGAGGGAGGCCAGGAGGGAGGCCGGAGGGAGGCCGGAGGGAGGCCAGGAGGGAGGCCGGAGGGAGGCCAAGAGGGAGGCCAGGAGGGAGGCCAGGAGGGAGGCCGGAGGGAGGCCGGAGGGAGGCCAGGAGGGAGGCAGGAGGGAGGCCAGGAGGGAGGCCGGAGGGAGGCCGGAGGGAGGCCAGGAGGGAGGCCAGGAAGGAGGCCAGGAGGGAGGCCAGGAAGGAGGCCAGGAAGGAGGCCGGAGGGAGGCGGGAGGGAGGCCAGGAAGGAGGCCAGGAGGGAGGCCAGGAAGGAGGCCAGGAGGGAGGCGGGAGGGAGGCCAGGGAGGCTGAGTTAACCGTAAGCCTGGCCTCTCTATTCTAACCACACTCTGGGCTCTGATTGCTGGGCAGGGACACAGTTCAGCACCCCTCCCCCCCCCCGCAGGGAGCTTCACACATGGGGTGCTCAAGGGGTTCGTTCACTCCAGCTCTTCAGCCCCATTATGCAGCGGACTGATGGATCCAGTTCATCTTTGGTCAATAGCAAGTCTTTCCCCGTTGCTGGATACTGGCCGCCATCCAGTCCAATTGAATAATATTTGCCCAGCACGCATTACACGTGAGGCATGGTCTCTGCCACTGTGACCATGAGATTTTCGCTCAACCACTCCTTCGTTGAGGAGTGTTTGTCGGAGACTGTCCGGGTACTGACACTGTGCTGGGGGCTGAACACAGGAGAAAAGAGAAACACAGCCTTTGACCGCAGGGAGCGTCGCGTGCACACCCTCCGTGGGGAGTGATGCGGATGGTGTGCCTGGAGGAACGCCCACGGGGCTGTGAGCAGGCCCGGGGTGCACACGGGGTCTGGGGAGTGAGGGTAGCCCTCGGCGCGCCGAGGGTGCAGGGACACAGAGTGTGGTGTGGGGCCAGGAGGCGGGTGTTGGAGGCCCAGGAGTCACTGTTCTGGGCACAGGAAGCAGGCTCACGCATCTGGAGCTCGGTGGGTGTGGGGCGGGTGCTCCGGACACTGTAGGGCTTTGAGCCATGGGGAGGAGTTTGCTGTCCCCCCTAAGAGCAGTGAGCATTGTGGAGCATATCTAGAGAGGGGAGTCCAGAGAGGAGGCTGGGAGACCACTGTAGTAGATGATGGTGGATGAGAGCAGAGGGTGGCCACAGGGGCAGACAGATGGCAGAGATGGCAAAGAGGTAAATGGACCCAACCTGCTGGAGGACTGGATAGGGGGTCAGGAGACAGAGGAGTCAAGGATGAATTCTAGGCTTTGAGCTTGTGAGGTCAGATGAATATTGCAGTATTCATCCTGGCTCCTGCTTTGGACCCGTCAAGTTGAAGGGGGGGTTGGAAGCCTCCAGGCAGAGCTGGGAGGTGGGCAGGGGTCGGTGCACACAGTCTGGACCCAGAGAAGCCTTGGAGGGCCGTCGGAGGTCGGTGCACACTGTCTGGAGCCAGAGGAGCCTCGGAGGGCCGTCGGCGGTCAGTGCACACGGTCTGGACCCAGAGAAGCCTTGGAGGGCCGTCGGGGGTCGGTGCACACAGTCTGGACCCAGAGAAGCCTTGGAGGGCCGTCGGGGGTCGGTGCACACGGTCTGGACCCAGAGAAGCCTTGGAGGGCCGTCGGGGGTCAGTGCACACAGTCTGGAGCCAGAGGAGCCTTGGAGGGCCGTTGGCGGTCAGTGCACACGGTCTGGACCCAGAGAAGCCTTGGAGGGCCGTTGGCGGTCAGTGCACACGGTCTGGACCCAGAGAAGCCTTGGAGGGCCGTCGGGGGTCAGTGCACACAGTCTGGAGCCAGAGGAGCCTTGGAGGGCCGTCGGGGGTCGGTGCACACAGTCTGGACCCAGAGAAGCCTTGGAGGGCCGTCGGCGGTCGGTGCACACAGTCTGGACCCAGAGAAGCCTTGGAGGGCCGTTGGCGGTTGGTGCACACGGTCTGGACCCAGAGAAGCCTTGGAGGGCCGTCGGGGGTCAGTGCACACAGTCTGGAGCCAGAGGAGCCTTGGAGGGCCGTCGGGGGTCAGTGCACACAGTCTGGAGCCAGAGGAGCCTTGGAGGGCCGTCGGGGGTCGGTGCACACGGTCTGGACCCAGAGAAGCCTTGGAGGGCCGTCGGGGGTCGGTGCACACGGTCTGGACCCAGAGGAGCCTCGGAGGGACATCGGGGGTCGGTGCAGGTGGAACAGTGAGAAGAGGAAGGCCGTAGGGTGTAGGCTCGATGGGCTCGGCGTGTAAGGATTGTGCGGGCAGAAGGAGTGGAAAGAGAGGGTGCCCTGCCGCGGAAGCCAGGCAGGTGCTGCAGAGCCGAGAGCGTGGCCAAGGGGAAGGACGACAAAGGTGTCCATTGGATTGAGTGCATGGCCATACCTTGCTGTGTTGTAGAGAGAGCGACAGAAGCCAGACTGGAGTGGGGAACCAGAAACGGCAAGAAGGTGGAACCCCATCAAGGATCACGGCGTGGAGGGGGGGCACGAGACAGGAAAGTGCCAAGAGGAGGGTGTGGGCTCATCGTCCTCACCTTCCAGTAGCTCATGCTCAGTGCCAGGCCTGAGACTGGCATCCAGGCAGGAAAGGACCATGACGTGGTCATGGCAGCTGCGGGTTCAGAGTTTCTGTAAAGGAGGCAGAATTAGCTTCTTGGGCACCCAGACAGTATGCCGATGGCTGATGTGTAAGCTGAGAGCACCAGGTGGATGAGGCAGGGACCAGAAGGCGGGAGAGGTCATCTTGGCGAAGGGAACACAGCATGTACAAGGACTGGTCATCCAAGTATCCATGTTGTCCAGCCATCCCCTCCCCTATAGACCCACCAAGGAGGTGTTCACTGCCAAAGGTGTGCATTGGGAGTAGGGATGGAATATGCCAAGCAGTATCCCTTCAGTGGTGGCATGCTGCCATGGCAACAGTGACGCTGTGAGACCTTTTGGAATACGTGGTTAGGTATGTAGGCAAGAATTTTCAAGAACCAGTACAAGGTTTAGCAAATCTGACCTGTTTCTTCCCCCACCCCCCTTTTTCTTTTGCAGTGAACTTTGACCATTTTCAGATTCTCCGGGCCATCGGGAAAGGGAGTTTTGGAAAGGTAAGAATGATGAGTTTTAGCAAATTTCATCAACAAAATGGTAAAAAGTTCTGCCCATTTGGCTGGTGTTTGTGAGTCTGGTTCTCTGGGCCCTGTTGGACAGAAGGATTTGGACTTTCCAAATTTGAAATGGGAACAGGCCCTGGCTGGTTTGACTCAGCAGTAGCGTGTTGGCCAGTGAGTTGCAGGTTTGATTCCGGCCAAGGGCACGAACCTTGGTTGCGGTTCGTCCCTGGCCCTTGTAGGGGTTGTGTGACAGGCAACCAGTCAATGTGTCCCTTTCACATCGATGTTTCTCTCTTTCCCTTTCTCTCCCTCCCTCCCACTCTATCTAAAGATAAATGGAAAAATATCCTCGGGTGAGGATTAAAAAAAAAAAGAAAGAAAGAAATGTGAACAGAAGTCTGAATAATTTCCTTTGGGCCCGCTGTAATTTCATTCTGAAAATTAACTTACCGCGGCAGCCCTGGTTTAGGTGAATTACAATGGTAATTATTTTAAGATCGCTAATGCTACTTCTCCCTCTGGGATCTAAATGAGGAGAGTGGAAAAACCCACAAACTTAGGAGATGGCCAACATCAGCTCCTTCCTGCAACACAGGCATTTCATTTAAAAATTTCCTTGGAGAGAATACTTAACACGAGATCTTCCCTCTTGATGAAATTGTCAGGGTACAATGAGTTATCGTTGACGGGATACAGTGTTGTACAGCAGACCTCGAGCTGGTTCATCTTGCTGGACTCAACTTGATGCACACGAGTGAGTGACTTTCCGTGTCCCCTCTTCGACTCTGGCCCTGGCAACCACAGTTCCACTCTTTGAGTCTGTAAGTGGACTGTTTTACATACCTCGTCTACTTGGAATCAGGCTAATTTCACGTAGGGTAACGTCCTCAAGATGCGTCCACGTTGTAGCATATGCCGACTTTCTTGTCTAAGGCTTTTGTTGTGCTTGCATTCTGCGTTTCTTCATTCATTTATCTGTCCCCGTGAACCAGATTCTCCACCTGAATCACCACCGTCCCCCCGCCCTATGGGCTGGGCTCTGTGTTAGAGGGGAGTTCAAGGATGAGTCTGTGTGCATAAGAAGCATCTTGTCCTTATCCAGTATCCTCGGGCAAACAAGGATTTCCCTTGGGGTGGTTGCCACCTGGGAAGTCAGTCAGTGAGGGCTTAGGAGGGTGTAGGGTGTGTGAAATGACGTGCCCATGTTTCCCACATTGGGCTGTTGTGATAACTAAATGAGATTATATAGTGGAGTGTCCAGCGTGAAACCAAACCAGGCCACTGCTCAGTCGATATTGATTCCCTCCCTGCTTAGGTGCTTCCCCTCCTTGGCAGCAGGGAGTAGGGAAGAGGAGACTAACTAAATGTGCTTTTCAAAGGTGGTGGTAGTAGGCACGTGTGGGTCTTGCATGGAGGGGCGTCTGTTTGGACACAAGCATGACACTGGCACAGGCAGGGCTGTTGTGTACATTTAACATCCCGGAGCATCTCACCATGTGTGATGTGTCACTGTTGGTAAATGGCGGGGCCAGACTTGGTGAGGCCCATGATCTTGCATGACACTTGTTCGTCTGGAAAACCACAAAGCTCTGAATTTAACAGGAGCTCGTCACTGAGTTTCCTCTAATTCCGTGTCTTGTCCTGTTATTGGTAGTTTGTATAGAATTGATACAAAATTAGCCAGCTTAGATTGGTCTCTTTGTTCATCCATTTATCCATTCATCCACCCATCCACCCATCTATTCATTCATCCACCCATCCACCCATCCATCCACCCATCCATACATCTTTTATTGATCCATACATCCATCTATTCATCTATTCATTGATCCATCCATTCACCCATCCATCCATTGAGCCGTCCATCTATCTATTCATCCATCCAACATCATTGATCCATTCAGCTATTCATCCATTGACCCACCTATCCACCCATCAATTCATTGATCCACCCATCTATAATCCACCCATCCAACATCATTGATCCATTCATCTATTCATCCATTGATTCATCTATCCACTCATCCATCCATTGAGCCATCCATCCATCTATCCATCCATCCATCCATTGACCCATCCATCCATCTAGCCATCCATCATTCATCTATCCATAATCCATTGATCCATCCATCTATTCATTCATTGATCCACCTATCCACCCATCCATTCATTGATCCATCCATCCATGGAGGATGGACTCATCATATGGAGGATCACACTGTTCTGGATCCTGTTCTAGATTCTGAGGTCACAAAAATGAACCAGATATTATGCCTGCTTTTGAAGATCTCTCAGATGTATGTAGGAGGCAGAGAAACAAACAGATAATTAAAGTCCTGTCTGAAAAACACTGATGGAGAAAAGCCCAGGAGATATGGGTACACAGGGGTAAGATGGGAGGATACCAAATGCAGACTTCAAAAAGTACCCTTTCTGTAGAGGGCAGGGTTGACTAGATGTCTATACAATATTTTCTAATACTTGAGTATGAAAATTTGCAAACATATAGCAAAGTTGAAGGCATTTTATAGTCAACACCGATATTCACCATCTACATTCTACAATGAACATTTATCAAACTTAATTTATGAAATACCTATTTTTAAAAATTTTTGCAAGTCTCTTTTATGTCAATATTAATTGCAGTGTGGAACTTGAAACATAATTAATAAAGGTTGATCTATTTTACACTTTGAGTGAATAATTTATCCATGTATGGTTATAGCATCATGCATTGGCCATTTGGAAATGATTGGTTCTTCACTGAATTAAATACAAATCTTCGAAATGTGGACACATTTCATTACACAATATCCAAAAATCACATTCATTAATATCACCATCACTTTAAGTATTGGGACACTGTCAAATTTATGGTGGTGGACACAGATTTTCCAAAATTCTAATTTTTGTGTGTAATCTGTGAAATACCTATGCTATTCATCCATCAAGCCATCTTATCTTTTATGCATTTTATAGTTAAATTGAAAATATCTGTACATTTACCCCAATTATTTCAGCAAAGAGATTTGTCTATAGTTTTTCCTTTACTATCAAAGCACCTACAATGAGATGTACAAATCTTAAGTTTATATTTGTTGAGTTTTGAAAAATACATACATCTGTGTAACATGAACATCTCCCAAGATATAGAATATTACCTCATCCAAAAGTCCCTGTTGACCCTTTCCAGCAAAAACTCATCTGTACCCCAACCACTTCATCCTCCATAGATTTGCTTGTTCTAGAACTTAATATAAATGAGATCATACAGTAAGTACTCTCTTGTGTAAGGAAGACTTCATAATGTTTTGCATTTTGCATAATGATTTTTGAGATTCATCCATCTTGCTGGGTATCTGCACTTTTTTTCTTTTTATTGACGGATAATCTGCCATTCTATCAGCATAGCACACAGTTTGTTAATCCATTTTTATCCTGATAGACTCCAAGACTGTTTCTGGTTTTTGTTATTTTGCAGAAAGTTGCTATGAAAAATTACAGCCTCTTTTGTGAACATATGATTTCATTTCTCTTGGGAATTACTTGCTCTATGAGGAGGTGTTTGCTTAGTTTTGCACAAAACTGCCAAAAGGTTTTCCAATGTGGTTGTATCATTTTCTACTCCTACTAAGAGTTCCATTTGCTTCTCATCCTTGCCAACATAGGGTGCTGTCAGCATTGTTCACTTGAGGTATTTTCAGTGTTTAGTAGTATCTCAATATGGTTTGAATTAGCATTTCCCTGATGAATAATGGTGATGGACATTTTTTTCATGTGTTTAATGAACAGGTATATATCTTTATTTGTGAAGTTTCTACTCACAACTTTTTGCCGTTTAAAAAAAATTGGGTTGATTTATAATTATTGAGGTGTGGGATATATATCTGGGTACCAGTCCTTCATCAAATATGGGACTATTCTCTACAAAACTGTGGTTAGCCTATTAATTTTATTAGTGGTGTGTTTTGGTGCACAGACATTTTACATTTTGATGAGGTCTAATTTATTGAGTTTTTCCTTTTAGGGTTATTGCTTTATGTAACTTGTAGAAGAAAACTTGACTCAAGAAAACATATTCCAGTCTATGTTTTCCTTGTAAAAGCTTAATGGGTTAGCATATAGGTTTAGTTCTATGATCATTTTGAATTAAAAATTTTGTATGATGTGAAGTAAGGGTTGAGGTTATTTTTTTTGTCTTGTACATGAATATCCATTTCTTGAAAACAAGTTTCCTTTGCTTATTGGATTGCTTTGACGTCCTTGTGAAAAGCCAGGTGCCTTGTATTAGTGGGAGGTCTCTCCTGGGTCCTATTTTGTTGCTTTTTCCTACTTATACAAGTACTACACTGTCTTCAGTACTGTAGGAGTACAGTCTTGCAGTCAAAAAGTGTAAATCGTTGAAATTTATTATTTTTCAAGATCATTTGGATATTCCGAGTCTTTGGGTTTTGAGAGGAATTTTGGAATTGCTTGTCAGTGTCTTAAAAAGAGAAGGGTGGGATTATAATTGGGATTACATTTATATATCAATTTGAATATAATTGCTGTTTTAGCATCATGGAGACTTCTAATTCACAAACATGGTATATCTATTTCTTTTTACCTTTATTTATTATTAGGTATTCTTTCATTTATTTTAGCAATTAAGTAAAAATGTGACTTATAGAAAACAACTTGGCTCAAGAAAACATACTTCAGTCACAAAGATAAATATTTTCCTGTGTTTACCTTGTAATTTTGTGGGCAGGGACTTTGCCCTTTTTTTTTGTATTAATTTTTTCCTAAATAGTTTATAAGGGTGTTTTTTTTTTCTTGGTGGACATTATTTATGGAATTGTTTTTAATTTAATTTTAATTGTTTTTCTTTATTTAATTTTTTCTTCCTTTACTGATTTTAGAGAGAGAGGAAGGGAGAGGAAGAAAGAGATAGGAACATCAATGAAAGAGAACATTGATTGGTTGCCTCCTGCATGTCCCCCACGGGGGATCGA